TGGCAGGAATAGAGAAAGATCAGCAATGTGCTCCCTCCAAAAACAGCAGCACTGTAATGGGTCACCACAATTTCAAACCTGAACAATGAAAAGTTATGACTTTTATAAGGCAAATATGGCCTCAGTTGAGAAATAAAAAGGAAAGGGAGGGAATAGACTTAAATATTATTATTTTTGCAGCCTCTAAAGGGAAAATAGAATATAAAAAACTGATTTGGTACCAAAAAAAAAAAAAAATCTTCCAATTTTTACTAAATCCAATCAGGATCACAAAGATTAAAGTACTTTTCTTCTGTTTGTTTTTTAACTTTTTCCAAATGTGACACAGAGACAAAAATGCGTTACTGCATTAGATAGAGATTTGTTCAGCTGCCCACCTCTAAAGAGGGCCCTGAACTGGCAACTGAGTAAAATATTCACTCCTGGAAGGTACCACAGCATTGTAGCAGATGAACCTGCACAGCTGGTTGAGTGCCCCAGGCTGTTATTGTGCTCTCGCTGTGTATGACTGTAAATTCTTATCTACCCTCCTAATTCTTTTATTAGGAACCTACCTCGTGCCATATTCATATCCATCCCATTGGTGACATTTGTGTATACGTTCACCAACATTGCATATTTCACTGCCATGTCACCCCAAGAGCTCTTGTCCTCCAACGCTGTGGCGGTAGTAAGTAAACCATTCCCTGGATGTCTAAAATACACTTTGATTTCAGTTCTGTGCTTTGCAGTGTATTTCAGTTTCTCTGCCTTCTGTTGCTTTAGACATTTGGTGAAAAGTTACTGGGCTATTTTTCCTGGGTTATGCCAGTCTCAGTGGCCCTATCTACATTTGGAGGAATAAATGGATACCTTTTTACCTCATCAAGGTTAGATGGAGTACAATTTTATGAACATTATCTAATTTGGGGAGGGGCTGTTTTAATTTGATTTGCTAAAGAAATGCTAGCTAGACATTTTGGATGTTATAGCATGGTGAGATCATTGTTGGGAACATTGGATACATTCAGTTATGAACTGCTCTTTTTCAATCAGCAAATGTAATATTGAATCACAGAATCTCTTGCAAAACAATCCTTATGAGCTACTAAAAGCATCTGCAGATGTGAAATAACTTGCAGTAAGAGCCAAACACGGCTTTAGTATGGAACCAAAGCAATTTTACATCAATAACGTTCCAGTAGCTACAAGCTAAAGTATGCTGGAAAAGGATTTGCAGGGCCGGTTCAGTTCCCAGTTACAGGCATCACTCCCGCAATGAAGAAGCTCCTTCCAGGCAAGATGCTTTGTGTGCACACTGATGATAGCAGGACCAGGATCTTCAAAGTCTATTTGTATTAATTGACCTTTCTGAACACCATTTAAAAGTTATAAATTTTTTTTTAGAGGAAACAATCCAACTCTGAAGTACCTTGGGAAAATTATTTATCTGAGCACTTCCACAATTATCATGAGATACAAGTCTGAATGCATGTAAAAGTGAAATCTTAAGGCACATGAAACCTTAACCAATGCCCTTTTGATGCTGGAAATATTATCTGTGAGATTTTTGGTGCCTTAGCGACACATGGCTGATCATCTCACAGCTTCCCTGTTCATGGATAAGCAGGCAGTGCTGCTGGCAGATGGGGACTGGCAGACTTCAGTTCTCATCCTCAGAGATAATTGGGCAACTTAGATCAGGTGATTTCACAGGTGACATTAGCCATTAAAGGCCTTCTACGTGGAATGATTTAGATGAAACAACTTACACCAAGTTATTCACAAATCTCTAGTGGAAGTGAGAGCCACGCTATGGTCTCCTCAGCTTCAAACCAGCAGCCAGAGAGCAGCTTCCTTCTACTCCAAAACCCATGAGAGCAGTTGAGATTAGAGACATTGTACAGCTAGATATTGAAAAAGCTGTTTTACATGCAGTGGATTAGTGCTCCTATTCTCATTTGCAGGTTATGTTTCTCTGGTGCCCGAGAAGGCCACTTGCCAAGCTTGCTTGCCATGATCCATGTGAAATACTGCACACCCATCCCTGCCCTGCTCGTCTGTGTAAGTTCCGTTGTCCCTGCCCCATTGTTCATCCAAGAAGAGGAGAAAATGTTCTGAATGTTGGAAGGTTTTGGCTGGTTAGGCTGCTGTTTTCCTGCAGGAAGATCTTTTTCTTTTTCTTAGACATTGTGAATTTCCACGATATTAATGACTGATGGAAGTCGTTATTTGAAACAAATACCCAGTTTTAGCAAGAATAGAGTTTATGAATATGTGATGAACAGAATACAAGATGTTTTGTGGCAAAGAAGATATTAAAAAGCAAAATGACCCTCGGTGCTGCAGTCGCTGAGTGCACAGCCCAAGCAGGGGAATTCTCCCAAGGGCATCTGCTCAAAAAGTTGGCTGCATCAAAGCCAACTGCGGATTTGCCACTAATTTCAAAACAATGAGGATTTGATGCAAGATGCACTAAGATGCACGTTTGCATGACTCTCCTGGCTCTAACAGCAATTCTGGCACAATACACCCAGACATAATTTCATCAGATAAGCCTTCTGCACATTCCACTTTCTGGACAAAATACCTGCACAACTGAGGCTTATGGCATTCCCAGGGCTCAGTGCCTGACCACAAATATCTCGTTCACTGCCTGTACAGGATCTGGGGGCAAACCCCACAGCCCATCTGTTCTGCCTTGAGCAAACAGAAGGCGCTGGCTCCATCCCAGCCTCACGCCAGGCAGCTGAACTCTGCTGATGCTGACGAAGCAGAACTTCTTTGTCCTTAGAAATACATCAGCTCAACCAGCATACTGAGTTTCTGTGCTGTTTCACTGTGAAATAGCCATACCACAAGTAGGCTGCCTGCACCGAGCAGGCCTGATAAATCAGGCATATGTCAGCCTCTCTCTCAGTCTGCTCCAAACATTTCCCTTAAATTACAGTGCAAATTACAGAACCAACACTGCATATCAATTCATCATTTGAAGGTACTTCAATGCAGCTCAGAGTACATCAAATGCTGCAATGAAATATTAATTCCTTAACAAATAGAAATGTAAAAATAACGTAGTGTAGGCAGCTACAATAGCAAATGAAGTCAGACCTCAGGCAATCCTAATTAATACATCAGGTTCTCTTTTCTTTTTCAGTGAATTTCACCTGTTTTTTTCATGCAGAAAGCTTTCTTTGTACACAGAGAAAGACCTTTTTAGCATCATCAGTGAGAGCTGTATTTTTACTAATCCTTCCAAAAATGAAGGGTCCAAGCTAAATGCAAAATAAACAGACTGGGTTTTTTGCAAGACAGTGAAGTGACAGGCTCTCCTGCCCACTGTGTGTCAGGCTGCCGTCAGGCATAGTAATCAGGGGAGGAAACACACACTCCTCTACAGCCCAGTACCACTCAGAAATTACACCATTTGGCAAGCAGCTCTGACACAGTCATGTCACCTACACAAGAAACATCATCGCCCCAAGCGCCTTCAGTGCAAAACCTGTTAGTGGCAGATGTGTGTCTGCCAGCATGCACCTTCCAGAGGAAAGTAGGAAACATGTTACGCCACACTGGTATAGAAACACTGCCCTATTTTAAATGAATTTTATAGCGAGACAGCTCAATATGCTGAAATCACCTCCAACTCCACATAGCTTTGAGGATTTTAACAGAGGAATGGAGAGTCCAAAGGGTCATTTGATTGTGATGGTGCGTAATTACTGCTACCAGTGGGTACAGAACTCCTCCCTCCCTAGAGACCTTCGCTATTAAAATGGCTAATTAAGGAAAAAGAAGACATAAGCAAAAAGAGCCTGAAGTAACATGCAGCCAAATCCTGAAAGCTCTCTAAAGGGATCCGGACATCGCATTTCCCCCAGGCTTTGGCCACCAGCAGACAATGTTTGCAGGGTGAATATGCAGTGCGAGGTGGGGTTCATGCCTGGGATACCAATGGGCAGGTGGGGCAGGATCTGAGAAGCAACACCATGAACCCTGAACAAGCTATCCCAACTTCACAGTGTTATTCGGAAATAAAGTACAAACAAAAGTAGACATGTAAATTTCCACCATCTGTCTGCCAGTTTCTAACACGAGTAATGTTCAAGAGATTAATGATGTCAGTCATCTGCAGCATGAGCCGTGGGCCACTGGGAGGAAAGGGCAAAGCTTTTATTCTTTATAATACATACAGGACACCTGCAATAAGGTGAAGCACTGATCACAGACTATTAGCCTACAAGAAAACCCTCTTGTCTCATAATAGACAACTTTCTCTTTGCCAGAAGTCCTCATTGTAGGGTCCAAAAGGTTTTAAAACAGAATTTGGTGGAGTGCAGCCATTGAAAGCAGGTACAGAAGTGTCCAGCTCAGGCAGCACAGTAGGACAATAAGCAACAAGAGTTAAGCTTAAACTGCTTTTCGCTTTTTTGCTTGTTTTTATTGCTTTTAAGCTACCTTGTTAGTAATAATTCACATCAGATCACCTTTCTTTCTTTACAGTGTCTGGCCACTCTTATCATCATGCTTGTCGGAGACACGTACACACTAATCAACTATGTGTCATTTATTAACTACCTCTGCTATGGAGTGACAATTATAGGCCTGATCGTGTTACGCTGGAAGAAACCCAAAATCTTCAGACCTATTAAGGTGAAAATATTAAAGCTAAATCTCTTGGCTGCAATGCAAAAGGCATGGGAGGAACCAAAGAAAACCCTGTGTCCTCCAGTTGTTTTTTTTTTTTGTCTTTTTGAAGATCAGTTCATTTTCAGATGTAATGCTGAACTTTCAGTTTCAAACCATGCCCCAAAGCACCACTAGTGTAAAAACGGGATACAAAGGCTTCCAAAAACAAACTTGCTAGTTGGGCAAGTGACAGTGGCAGAAGAAAGGGGACACAACCCATGAGGCTCTCAATGCCACAGCTCTTGTTGCCAGCCCAGCGCTGCCCTCACTCTGCAGTCATGCTCTGCTCTGCTCTCTCCCTCCAGGTGAACCTCCTCATTCCCATCACTTACCTGGCATTTTGGGCATTTCTGCTGGTCTTCAGCCTATACTCCGAGCCAGTTGTCTGTGGAGTCGGACTCATTATCATTTTAACTGGAGTGCCCGTGTTTTTTCTTGGAGTCTACTGGAGAAATAAACCAAAGTGTGTAAATAGGCTAATAGGTAAGCATTGCTGATTTGGTGCACTTTTTGGGCCCACTGCTCATGGCCTGCAGAGCTCAGCCCCCCCCAATGCTGAGACCCCAGCAAGCTCAACCACTGCTGGCATGCACAGCCTTCAGACCCCCACACAAAGCAGGCCAGGTGCTGCCTATGGATGGAAATACTTCAGTTTTAAATTAGAAGGAATGGCGAGCCACCAGGCAGACAGGCACATTGCAGTCGAGCCCCGGACAGGAGGTAATAGATGTATTTTTGTGGCTGTTTGTGCAGGTAACTGCTTTCTTCATCACTTGCCATATTCACCTTCACTTGTGCCCCTGTGCGTGCCCCAGCTCACTCACCACAGCCTCAGCAACAAAGCAGATGCACTAGAGTATCACTTTAAGCACATAAAGACCAAACAAACCAAACAAAAAGAATAATAAATGACAGAACTCTGCCTGTCCCTCACCCTGCTCTCATCCCAGCAGCACTGCAGAACCCCTGTATGGCACGATGAATTATTTCTCACTCAAATAACAAGAAAGCCTTGCTTTTTCCCTCACATCACAGTGCACACGCTGCTTGTGATTTGGCTGTGCTTGGCTTGCAGCTGTTCTGTGGTGAGGACTTTCCCTGAGCAGGCGCAGCTGCCTGCCCGGCTCCCTCAGCCTCACTGCGACCACCGGGCACTGGCACGACCTCAGGGATGGCCCAGCGAGCCTCTGAGCAGCACAAAGGGCTCTTTGCAGTAAAGGGACATTCCTAAAGGCGCCTAATTTTAATCCACCTGCGTTTTGCAAACACCAATGGTCACCTCACTAGAGATAAAAGCAGCCAAAGGGAAGGCGGGCAGTGCGGAGAGGCCAAGAGCTCTGTGGGGAAGATGGCCGCCGGGTCACGCACTGCGTCACGCAGCGCTCGAGCGCCATGCCGAGCGCAGCCCGTGCTAACCGCACACTTGCTCCCTGCAGAGTCGGTGACGTGCTGGGGACAGAAGCTGTGTTTTGTGGTGTACCCCCAGGGTGGGGCGGCCGAGGAGCCTGCTGCCCACTGCCACCTGCCCGCCAGCGACAAGTCCCCGAGGAAATAGCGGAGCAGCCTCTGGGGCTTCTTGTTTACACGCCCATTTTTGCAAAAAGATTTTCTGGGATTTAAAAAAAAAAAAAAAAGCCTTAGAGAATAGTGAGCTACACACTTTATGGCATCTGTAGCTTTTAGTTTTTTCCCTAAGAAAAAAGAAAAAGAAAAAAAAAAAACAGAAATAAAATATGAAATAAGGCACTGGTTGTTTCTTTTTCGGCAGCACACTCGCTCAGCGGGGGAACGCAGCACAGCTACAGCTCTGAGATACTGATTCTAGCAGTCATAAGGGCCTGTTTGAGACTGAGAGACTGGGGCATGTGAAAGCATTACTAAAGCTCCCCATCACAAAACCAAAATGGAGAAAGCCAGGGGAGAGGAGATGGGGGCAACCCTGCTGCTGCCCCAGCATAAGTACAGCCCAAAGGATCATTTCTCCATAGGACAGCTGGTGGGCACCCACACAGCCAGGAGCAGGGGAAGCATGTGGGACAGGAACAGGCCGTGTTATTGTACAAAGGAAGCCGGCTTGAGCATTCAGACATCATTTGGTGTGATAAGGCCTCAAGCATCTTCATTTTTGAAACATTTTTGCTTGGGCTCCTGCACAACAGGGAGATCTCAAAAGAGCCAGGAAGAAAACCCAGCGCTACTCTTTACTATGAGTCAGATGACACTCTTCATTTTAATGGTGCTCAGAGAAGCAGCAAGTCTACATCATTTTCACATCAGATGCTCTTTAGAAAGTGTTTTGCATATTTTATTTGCAGCAAACACTTAAAAAAAAAAAAAATCTGGTTCATACATTCAGTAAATTCATAGAAATCTGCTGCTGTAGCAATATGGCCACTTTCACACCAAAGAATCTTTTGAAAATGCAAAATGCAGGAATAGCTCTAAGCAACATTTTGAATAGCTCCTGTTCTTTTGTAACTTTTGAAAAATAAAAGCTATCACATTCAGTTGCCTTGGTAACAGCCACAGGAATTTAATTCTTAAAGCAGCTCTGTGTTAGTGGCCTTGGTAGAAAAATTAGGGGTTCATTAATCTCTTAGTTTGTCAGGTACCACACATTGTACAAAGATTGAAGAATAGACTCAAAATATGGGGGTAAGTTCAAGGAAAGTGACTTTCCAATACAATGCATTTTTATCTTTAAATATCTGTCCATGAATGTCCAAGCCTAGAGATGGTAAACTGAAAAGAAACACAGTTTACATTCTCCTTCTATAAAGCTATTAATTGTAAGTCGTGAAAATATATATTTAGTTAAAGAAAAATGTGGCTTTGTGTGTACATATACACACACATCTCAGGTACCAATAGAAACGTATGAAACCTGTAACTGCTACCCAGGCAATCAAAGACTAAATTAAAGAAGCCACTACTTCTTTAGTTGCTAACTAGTTTGGGCTCAAATTTTACCTGACTGTATTTCAATGCTCTAAAACAATAAACATTTGCCCTTAGATCAGAAGGCTGAATTTAAAACAGGAGGGTTGGGTAGAGCTTATCTTTGAATTACATATCAGTCTCCAAAAGCTGTTTCAAGATGTCTCATTTCATTTTTAGAAACAGTTTCATCCGTGCTCCCAACATCATGTATGTTATTTTTTTAAGGCTTTGCAAAAGTTACTTCCTAGCGCACGCTATTTCAAGCCATAGAAATCAACATACGGAGCTTGGAAGACAAGTTCATATGCTGACTGAAATTTAGCAGCATGCTTAACTTTGTTCAGGTATGACTTTTTTCAAAAGATGAAACAAAAATCCCACAGAAGATGTAACTGCTATTACTTCTAAGCCCACTGAACAAAAGCAAAATCCCAAGACAGCCGACACTACAAATATGTCAAGAACGTTGCATGATTCAATGCAGAAAAGACAGCTTTTTCCAAAAGAAAAGTTTTGTAATTTTGAAGTGTTTGCTGTAGTGATACAACTCTTGCTGATTCTTGTTTCCTGCAGCATTTTGACGTCCCCTTTATTGATATGTAAATCATGATAACCTGTGTGTTAGCTTTTCTGAAGGAGAAACTCCCAAAGAAAACAGAGCGAAGAACATCTCCACCTGAGCTGCAACAAGTGCACCTTCTCCAGGTCATTTTCTGCAACTTTCAGACAATTTTACAGTCATCTCCATACAAAACAAATTGGCACCACCCTAGCTGAATTACACTAATAGCACAGCAGTGTTAAAATGAGTTTAAAGCTTTAAAAATCAATCAATTTCTACACAAACCTGTATTTTACATACTATTATATTTATGTAGCAGCACACATACACAAAGTATGAGAGGCTATAATGCAGAATACTCTGCTGTTCATTCTTTTAGTGCTGGCAATACCATTTGGCAAATTTCACAGTAGTAATAGAGGTAATGCAAATACTTTGAGCTCTAAGCATCAACTTTAAGTTAGCTTTTGAGACTGAAGCTAGTAGGAGCTGTGTTGGATTGTTCTTATTGCATTATCACCATACGATTATCGCAGATCACATTGTCATTGTGCCACGCAGTGCACACAACAGTGGGAAAACAGTCTGTCTCCCGAGAAGGATGGCATCCCATAGGCAACAGGAGCTGGGGGGCACAGGCAGGAGAACGCAGGACTAATGAGGCTGAGCTGCACGGCACAGCTGCTCCTGCAGGCTCCATTGCTCTCCAATGTTTTCATGACCTCGGTATGGGAATTGGCTGTTTCCACATGACTCCGGTACATCAGGCAAAAGACCTTGATCTCAGCAAGGTCCAGACAGAACACTCATATCAGTTCAGAGCTTTTACCCAACTCAGCAAGAATCCATGAGTCACTGTGTATTTAATATTCCACACACAAGCATATTAATTGGAAGTAATTTTATAAATAGGTATTGAAAGATACACAAGCAATCTTTCATCAGCAGAGCTCAATGATTTGCTGTCCCACACAATTTTCAGAGGTCTTCAGGAAAGATTTTCTCATCTTTCATTCTCTAATCTGCAAATTCTGGGAACAAAATACATTTTCTTTTTGGCTCTTTTGGGAGCCAAATGAATGACAAGACAAAAATTACTGAGCTTCTGAAGTATGCATCATAAATGAAAGCTTCATTTAATTTAAAAAAAAAAAAAAAAAACCAACAGGGTAAAGCCTTGCTTGGAATTTGTCTTTTCCTAAATCTGAGTTCCAACTGCTTTGGCTCCTCGCTTGGGAGCAGGCCTGTGTGTGGATCAGGGACTGTCTCCTATTACTAAAAGCAAAGCATCTTTTGTTTAATTTTAAAACTTCTCATTCCTCAACACTTCTCACCGTTGCTCTTACTAGGCAAGAAGCTTCCGCATTTGGACAAATGAAAAAGGAAAATCCAAGGAAAAGGATTTGAAAGCAGGCAAGGGACACTGTTTTTATTAGAGATCAAAAATAAATGTCTTATAAACCTGGGATAAGAGATAGGAATTGAAAGGAAGGAAACTTGGCACACCAAAGCAGGAAATGTATGAAGTGCAAAAAAAGGGAAACTTCCACCACTCAATCCAGCTAAGACTATTTGATCCCTGAAGACAAGAACACAAGAGCCAGAATCTGAAATGAGAAGGGTGGCTTATTTAACAATTTGCTATGTTAACAGACTAACAAGAGACATGAGATGAGGCATGCTACCTGGAAAGTTTGGGTCATGGACGGAGAGGCTGCATATAAATCCTACTGCCTGCTCGGGAGATGAAAAGACACTTCCTGTTCTTAAATAAGCAAAAGCAATTCTTCTCTCAAAAATCTGTTAAAAGAAATACATAAATTACTTAAGACTTTTCAAGCTAGCTCCTTGGTTTGTCACAAGATACATCTGTTGTGCTACACAGGCTTTCAGCAAACACTGCTGCAAGTGCACAGGTATCATTTATTACCCTGTCTGCCTTTTATGGGCTCTATTCATTTCAGCCAAGTTTACATCAGTATTAGGGTTGTAGTATTACTGCTTGTGTCACTGCTATTGAAGCTGAATTAGCACTTCATGGTGAAGGAAAGCAACCACCCTTCCTATGAGGTGAGGCACTGTCAGCCCTCTATATCAAGCTGTGCCCTTCTATCCTTCATGGTTATGGATGAGTCCTGATGACCACGAAGTCTGTACAATTCTCTACTACACAGATAAATACTTCCAAGTTTGTTGGCAGAAGTTTGCTCTACACAAAAGAACTCAGCTTATGCCTTCTACTAAAAAAAACAACCACAGCAGAATAGAGCCAATGACATAAACAAAAGACATAAACACTGGAGAGAGGAAGCATGAGCGAAACAAATACAGCCCCAGCAATTGGCAGTGAGGTGCTATGTTTCAGGAACAGGGTTTTTTGTCTGTTTTTTTCTCTGCAACAGAGTCATAAAGAATCATGTACTCCACAGCTATGTTTTGTTATTTGGGGTATATGTATGCATCTTTTAAAGACATCTGTGCACAACAGGAAATTGCTACTGGTAAGATTTCACGTGTACTTTCCAAAAAAAGTGACACACATCTACAGCTTCAGATACCAGCAAGAAGCATACAGCCAAAAAAAAGAACTACACACCAACTTCAGATCTTCACACCAAAGGCTCATAACTGACTCAACATATGGAGTCAGCAATGGGCAGTGCTAACAGATTGGCACTCTCAAGTGACAGTCAGAAATCCACAGTCTCTGGACACATTAAATTTTATTAAAAATTAAGAGATTGAAGCAAGAGCAAAGTATGATGATGCCCAGCATCTTACTTGTATTGTATCATTGTCCAGGAACCAGCAAACACAGGTAACCACGATGCCATACCTGAACCATACATCTGTACATACACATTATGGTAAAATGTATTTCAGTGAATATATACAACACACACATACCAAAAAAAAAAAAAAGAAAAAAAAAAGGTAGAGAACAGAAAACAAGTACATATAAGGGATATTACAGAGTCATACACAAGCTGGAAAGTGTTGCAATTTCAAATAGAAACACAGCCCATGTTTTAGTAGTAATAAGAGAGTAAGAGAACACTTTAGTCGTGATGCTGCCGGTGAGAGGTTCTTCTTAGATCAGGAAAAGGCTTAAATATTCCTCTCCATTCAGAGTTATTTTTAGGAAACTATTTTTTAGGGAGATTGGACAGTGGAGTTTTGTAGGGTTTTTTGGTGTTGTTTCTTTTTTTAAAAACTTTTTCCCTTCTATGAAAATACTTAGCGCAGAAAAGCATTCTTAAAATATTTTTTTAAAAGATAAATTCACTAGCTCATTAGGTCACGTAGCCATTGAAGTGCAATCATAATTTTCCACTGAGCAAAGAATGAAATTTTCTGTTCACACTTCTGGCATAGTAGCAGTTTTCCACCTTTTCTTTTTAGTTAGTTCTGAATATACGGAGGCAGCTTGCGTGGAACAGAAGCTGGGTGAGCTTCAATGACAGTCAGTTCTCTGCTTAATGGTTACAAGGGGTGGAGAAAGGAGGGGTAGACATATACTAAGGCAGACTCTGAGTTTTCCATCAAGTGTCAACATTTCAACACATTTGTTTGTACCCACAGCACACATGCACACGTTTCTTCTGCAAAAGTGACTCTTGCCTCCAAGGAATGGACTAGGGGAGCTAGGAGAGAATATTCTATTGCAGAATACAAAACACAGGTGTTTACAAAAGCACCAGGCTTGTATGTCTCATTTATGCAAGGCTGTAAATTCCAGCAGTGATGGCTGTGAGTATTTCTGTACACTTCAAGCATCAAATTTTCATTAACCTGGATGTTTGTCAGTTTCTAAATATAAATCTTTCTCACTGAAATTTCTGCTGAGTTACCAAATGGATCAGTACACAAAATACGCATTATATATGTAAGAAATTATGTTGTTACATCTTAAAAGAAAATACAGTGCAGGGTTGTTCCCAGAATATAGAGTAATTTAAAGTATATATTTCAACTCTAACATTTCAACATATTTTAACTTCAAGAGCCTTACAGTATGATAATTTAAGGCATAGTATGATCAAAATTATTTTTCTATAGTAATACATTTCTGTAAGAGAATTAAATAAACACTTATTCTGAAGATCCTTCGTATCATCACAATATTAACCCTGAAACAATCCTCCTCCCCACAGATTAGGCTTACTGTTTTAAAGATAAAACTACTATTTAAAGTTACCTCCGGGAAAAAAAGATGACACTAAAACCTGCAGCCTTCGATGCAAACAATCTGGCCGCATGATGACTACAGTACACAGCAAAGGTGGAATGCATTTAAAATGCTCATAAATGCTATGAAATTAACATCTTTCAAAGCTTCATTTTCCTTGATGAAATGAATTCTGATCACAAAAGCACTTGAGAAGAAATGAGTAGTACTTACTTAATGTAACTATGACTCTTGCTCATTATGCATTTTGCTACAATCCTTTCTATGCTCTTACAGACTTTGAATCTTCCGCCTCTGGAAAACACACTATGAAACCAATTTGCAACTGAAAACAAAAAAGTAATTTCAAAGTCATTCCTTCACATTACATTTCAGTAAAGCAAAAGTCTTAATGCTTATTTTTTTAAAGCACTCCCACAGGAAGTCCTAGTGGAAGATTCAGGGCACATACAGTCCATTAAAAAACATCTCTGACACTTCAGTGTAAACTGTTCACTGCAAAAGCCTGCAAAAACACCCCACTTCAAGTCCACCCCAGCTTTACAAGCTGAAGTTACCAGTTAATAACTTCAGGCAAGTTGAATTCCTACAGCATTAAACAGCATCAGAGCGCTTGGATACTTACAGAGGAACAGCTGAGATAACTTCTTTGTTAATTTCTGTATGTAGCATTCCAGTTTGTTACTGCCTCACCAGAGGGCCAAAACAGAGCTCCTAAAAGGGTGGGGGGAAGCCTGGCCCACGCTATTTCATGGCACCATCCTACCAGCAGCAGGGCCAAACTATCAGACCATAACCAGCTGTGACCGCACCAGGTCATTCCTGCTTCAGTAATATCAACCTTCTTTCAGGTAAATATCTTGCTTGCGTCTAATTGCACCCTAAATTAAAAAAAAAAAAAAAAAAACACAAAAAGGCACCAGTTTAAAGCAGTATACAATTTATACAATTCACACAGTGTCAGCTTTGAAACTGGCACTGTCCTACTTCAGTTCTTAACAGAAAGTAAAAGCAAACCCCTATAACTGACTAGAAAAACAAGTTTCAAAAAGCTGCACCTAGATAGCAGATTTACGAGAAAACTTGTGAAGTAGATTTTATTACAAAATAAAGAATCCAATCCCGAAAGCTACCAAGTGCTCAGTGCTTCCTATTGCAGCTAGCTGTGAAGTCTCAGAAACCTTCAGAGCACAACCAAAGAGGTGTAATCATAAAAGTCCCTGAAATCAGAAGGGAGGAGAGGAAAAAGGGTAGGAAGACAGCAAGCGATTCTTCAACCTCTGCTACATCACTTTGAAGAGTAACATATGACAACTGAAAAATATTGTTGCAAATGGGGTTCAATGCATTTCACTTGTACTGAACACTGCTGATCTCTTACTACAAAGCCATAGCGGACAGGAATGTTCTGCATACTCTATATAGAAACTTTGGTTCTAGTGGATGTTTCAAGAGCTATATGGCCATCAAAACATTTCTGAAGGGAGCAAAGGAAGCAAGCTACTTCTAGAAATAGGGAACAACAAAGGATTTTATTTCCTCTCAAACATTTTAATGATATTATTAAATTTTAGTTAAATAATGATGCCTAAAAGGACAATGTTATTTCTCGACTGGTACTCACAGTCACAACTGGTGCCTGGTCCAAGTTCCAACAGTGTTAATTTCTGTAAGACCACTTGAAAAAGTAAAGAAATACCAACTCCCTGAATGGAAAGTAAATAAAGCACAGAAGAAATAAACAGTGGAGATGCCTCCCAACTACAGTGACATATTCTTGCTCTCTGAGCCCCTGACATCACATACTGGCCTACTTCTGCCCCCACTGGAGTTTCAGGAATAGCAACAAAGAAAAACTTGTCCCATTTAGTCCTGTGCTGTACTCCTGGGGATTAAAGCACACCAGTTTTGATGGACAATCTGAGAGCAAAAACCACCTAAAATCAAAGTGCACAGTCATATAAACAATGAAGTTACAAAGTTTACAGGGTCAAAACAAAAGCTTCTACTAGCAAACAAGTAAAGACTCATCATCACTTGTACTGATTTCAGAGAGGGGAGCAGAGGACTCTAACATTGGCACTTCCACAGAATGGCAACAAGCCGCATGAATACCCAAAGGCTCCTCCCGATGGGAGCCAGGGCAACACCGGCTTTGTCCATCCACTTGGATATGAACATTCAAGGGGCTATCTGAATAAGCAGACTCCCACTTTAAGGGTAACCTACATGGCTCTTCACTTGGTGGATGACTTCTACTTAAATTATTGCCCTCTAGGACAGTCCTCCTGGGTGCTGACCCTCCATGGATCGCTTCTGTGACACTTTCAGACAAAGGATCTCTGAAAGGCTTTCCTGAATCCACTTTATTGGGCTGCTTGAGCTCGCTGCCCGAGGTCTCAGCACCTACAGATTTATCAGCGTGTCCAGACTCAGGTTCTGCTTGCGCAGCAGTGCAAGTGTTCTCTAAGACATTCGAAGGCAATGGCTCTGTGATTTCAGTCTCCGGCTGCAAGGTGCTACATCCAACTTCTTGCAGGTCACTGGCGTGGGCGTCTGCCTCTAAACTAGGTCCTTCAGGTGAAGGCGGAGAACTCCCGATAGTCCCATCAGCGCGGTTGATGATTCCATCACCCAACGTCGTCTGCGAAGTGTGGGCAGGTGTCAGGAGTGGGATCTGTCCTCTCACCCGAGGTCTGTGGAAGAGTCTGTTCCAGAGTCGGCCAAGGCGCCGCCGAGACGAGCTTCGTCGTGACGAGTGACGTCTCATCTGCCTCCTCATGGCCGTTCGGATGTTCTGCAGCACGGAGGCCTGTCACACAGAGGCAACCGATTTAGCACACACTCAAAAGACTTCTCCCATAGCTCATTCACTAAGATCTCCATTTTAAGAGAATCCTCCTCATTAAACTTGTATTTTCTAATGAACTGCTAAGAATGTCAAAGCTAGCTCTGTCTCTACCAAAACATTCTCCATTAAAATGTTTCCTTAATAAATTTAATTTCTTTTTGTTTGCCCAGCAAGATGCTTCCCACTTGCTATCAGATCACCACCGAAGAACAGGCTACAGACCACCAAGTCCTCTGCCAACAGAAATAGCAGAGGATTCTCAAACCCTGGTAACAGTGGAGAAAGGCAAACATAGTACTGCTGCACCTGAGTAACAAGCTTCGAGTGCTTTATCACACTTGGAACTGCATCACAGTGGGATAATTTTAACAGTTTGTGAGAGACTTTTGAGAACTCAACAGTAAAACATCAATATGACTTAATGGCTTCCCAGTGTAATGTATTTGTAAATAAAAATTAATTCTAGAGTTTCCCAAAAATACTGTTAGAGACCTACTTTCTTATCACCTCAGACATTCACAGTTTCAGCTTGGAAAGCTCCTTTTCTTTTTTTTTAATTTACTTTCTCTATCTCTGTTCATTCTGTCTTGACATACAGTAAAACAGCATGTTTTTCTCACTGCTGATCCCTAGCAAATATATTTAATGTGTTCAAAACTACCCACAGCACCAAGATACATGACTACGATTCTACAGCTCAAAGTAAAACATACATATTTCAGTAAGAGCATTTCCATACAGTTAGCAGAGCTTCTCTGCTACTGACAGAACACAGTTCCAGACCAGTTCTATCTTATAGCAGTCTGGCTGCTACTAGGTTCATCAGCACTCATGTCACCATACTTGTGATGCATTGTACACAGGGAAGTCTTCGACTGGGGGGATCAGTCCTTGTGCAATCAGCTGCCCATAGGAAGGTGGAGCTTCCCGACGCACAAATTCTGCCTCAAGTCGTGTCATCTGGGTCTCAAATGCTCTGGGAACAGAACCATAGTAGGAAAAAAAGCAGAAGAGAAGTTACAGTCAGTTTGTCCTGCCTCCTCTCACGTTAACGCACAGACACAGAGCAGAGGGCTTCAAACTAGCAGCAAAAAGGCAAATCTTTACCAGGGCTCTGTGCAAAACCTTATCAGGATGCTAAAATTAATAAAAGGAACAATAGTAACAGTGAGTCAAATCAATAAACCCAGTCTGAGTTTGGACTCTGTAGTAACTGCACATTTTCCAATAGGCCAACTTACATCAATAAAGGCATTAATTTGTTCTACTTATTTTTGGAAAATACAGCATGAAGCACTGCAACAAGCACACATCATGGACAGGCTTGGTGCATATGACAAGAGACAGGCACCAGGAAGTCCCTTCTGACTCTCTCTGAAAGGGCACAACCACAGTCGCACAAACATACAAAGCACAGACAAAGAAAGGAAATTTCTCAAAACAGTTTTGATATTTGTTAGATTCAGGTCTGGCAGGCTACACAAGAGATGCGTATTTTCCACAGATCATAGAAGAGTTGACATTTCCCCTACTTCTGAAAATCTCAACTACTCTTCTCTAAGCCTAATGCAGTGAGTACTACTTAACATATTTCACAGTATTTTCTGAATTCTTTGTTAAACAATTCACTTTTTTTCCTCCTTTAATCAAAGAAATACGCAGTCAGTTACTAAAGAATCATAAAACCAAGATGTTTCTATGTACCTGTATTCTCTAGTCCTCAGGGAATATAATTTAAATGCACAACCCAGCGCTATCACCAGCAGCAGGCCACACACGAGACTCCCGATCAGAGCAGCCGTGATGACCTTCCTGGGAACAATCACCAGGCAGTTGTGCTCATCGCTTCCATCCTGGCAGTCTTCTTGACCATCACAGCGCCAAGTCTCAAAGATACACAGATTTGTCCCACAATGGAAATTCCCTGGCTGGCAAGTAAAGCAGTTTTTTTCATCTGAGCCATCTGGGCAGTTCTTTTGGTTATTACAGCGGTCAAGTATTGAGTAGCAAAGCCCACTATTTCCTTCACATGGATATTCATTCTTCTGGCAAGCCGGACAGTTCTCCTCATCTTTGCCATTTGGACAGTGCCACCAGCCATCACAATGTTGCTTATCCGTGAAACACTCCTCATCACTTCCACAGGGGTGTTCCCAAGGAAGACAATAGCCTTTCACCTGGTAGGTTGCATTGAATCCATGGCCAGTGCTCTTTGAGCGAGCATGATACGAGACTGTGAGCTGGCCCTTTGATGACTCCACGCTCACCGGATGCCTATTGTTGTGAAACGAAAATGTCTGCAGTAATTTATCACCTCTCTCTTCAATGCCATCATACACCTTTACGTAGTCATTGTAGCCTAACTGCAAATCAAGCTGCAACAGAACATGTCGATTATCTTGTGTATCCACATACCACGTGCAACGAAGGTCTGATTTGCTGTGATCAGCACGGAATAAGTCTGGGGAAGCAAAAGATCCATAAAAATTACCCAGCCTTTTGCCACAGGAAAGATCAGGACAATTATCTTCATCTGAACCATCGCTGCAGTCTTTAACTGAATTACACCTCAGCTCGTTCATCAAGCACTTGGTGGAGCGGGCTACACTGCACTGGAATGTTCCTGAGGGACAGATGCTGGATGGAGGCTCTGTTGGAGGAACAGTGCAGTTTCTCTCATCTGAGTTATCCCCACACTCATCCATGGAATTACATTTCCAAGTACTGGGAATACACTTTCCATTTGCACAATGGAATTCATCTGACTGGCATGCAGCCTGGCCGATCTTTCCTGTGAAAGAGAACAAGCAGAAAAAAGTCAGTATCAAAACTTTTGTAACCATCCAATGTCACATTTTAATGTCTACCCTCTCTGTGTGTCACAAGTCAATAGGTCAGGCCAGTATACTTCAAGAAAACCAGTAAGAAGCTAACTGGAAAAAGCATCAGTGTTACCACGCTAACACTTAATAACCAAGACTGGTCCCAAGACTCTCATCAACAAATAATACTCCTGTCTCCAAGTTTTACTAGAGTGCTTAAGCAAAGCCAACAAAATTGCAAGGTTTTACCTCTAATATAAGAAAGGCGAAATCCCTGAGACTGTCCTGAGCTTGATGCATCTGAGTGAAAAAATATCCAAACATGATCCCTTGCAGAGATGAAAGATGGAGGTATGGAAGATCCGCATACTTTGTACTCCTCCCTCTTGGAAGATGGGCCAATCATCAACCAATCTACTGCACATTTCTGAGATTCTTCTAAATCAAAGTTCTTAAAGCTGTTAAGAACAAAAGAAAACACAAGTAACAAAAGATATTTATCTGGAACAGTTAAACAGTGAAAAAACAGAATGTAGCAGTTGAGTTTCTGCACAAGCAGTGCTGACATAAAGAGATCACATTCAAAGATAATGAAACATCTCCAGTATCTTGCATACACATAAACATTGCATTCAAATTCTCCCAATTTGGAAAAGCACTCATCTCACTGGCATAAACAGCATGCCAAGCAGCTCCAAAATCTGAAAGAATGCATCTCTTATTCAGAGCCTGTAGGCAAAACTACTTCCTAAAACACAGATCTGAGTAAAAGAAAAAATAGCAAAGAACATTACATGGAAGCATAAAAAATGATTTCAACAATCTTTTCCGACCTTAGAAGCTATTAAAAGATGGCATGAGATTAGAAGCTATTGTATCAGAGTAAGAACAATAGGAAGCAATACAAAGAACCCTAAGGGGACAAAGAAGCAAGACAAAAATCAGTTTTTCAAGCCAGGGATAAGCAGGGAGAAGACAAGATGAGAACAGCAAGAAAGGAAATGGAACATGAAGTCTCTCTAACCGTATGATTATTTAGTTCAAAGAATAACATGTTCCCTTTCCGGGAATGCAAATGCAGAGCAAACGAGCTTATAACCTTTCACTGTCAAACATCCAGCTCTCGTGCTGACCCAGGGCCAAGGCTATTCCATAGCATCTTACCCAGTGCAAAGAGGTGTTCCAACAGCTGCTGAACACTGAACACAGCCGAATAATACTCCCTAAACTGGAGCTCAGAACCACACTGGGTGTTTGTTCACACTGATGAAACACATTGCATTTGCTTTCAGTAATCTGCAGTAAGGGAGAAGCTTACTGTGAAAGGGCACACTGTCCAAGACACTTGGACAAGACAAGAACTGTACTGTGTTCTTCTTTACATACCTCAGCTACACACAATTAACTTGGTAACAGTCACTGCATACTCCACACAAACACCTGAACAGAAAAGTCAGAGAGACTGAAAAGCTGCTATGAAGTAGGAATCTCCTTCCACAAAGGACTTCTCAGAAACACAGAGGAAGAACTATCTGAAAAAGATAAATGGAAGATAATTTTCTGACACCATGGTGTACTTACAAAAGGCTGTAAAAGCCTGCCAGATCTTGCCCTTTGAAGGTGAAAGGGAAAGAGCAGCAACTTTGTAAACCAGCCAATTCATTTTAGAGCAGTTCAAGCCTACACACACCCCAGAGTTCTGCCAAATGTACTGACTTGAAACATTTTTTTGCAGTTTTCATGAAGAGAATGAAAAATAAGAGCCACCAGGATGTTAAATTAAAATGGAAATTAAAACATGATCAGCAACTTGTTGGACACAAATATGCCCCCCTCCTCTTTTCTAATTCTTTTTCTCCTATTATGTTCCACATATCATTCCAGCTAGGAAGAATTCTTCCACAGTACCCACTTCTTTGCTATGTAAGCAATCTCATCAAGCTTTAGAAAACAGCTTATTTTGCAAGGGAGTCTTAAGTGAATCTGAAGTCAAAATAAAAAAACTCAAGTATCAACCAGGCAAAGAATTTCTGTCCCAGGTGTTCTACAAAAACTTCTTAATGACCAAGTGTACAAAGAGGCACTACAGCACGAAAAGGAGTTACATGAAGCAGCTATGAAACTGCCAGCACCCACGGAAAGTCTGCTGTGAGAGATCTGAGACGGCACTACTGAGCTTCCACATTGGTTTCACTTTCTTTTTCTTAGCTACCAGGCACCACGAAGAGTTTCTATCATCTACTTGGAAAATTATTTGTAGAGTTTTCTTGTCACAAAGAATTTTTATGGTAATCATTGGAAGTAACTATTTGCCCAACAACATTTGTAACAAAAGGGAACAGTCACTAAACCAAGCAATGGAAGCTCAGAACTTGGGAGTGGAGGAGAGGGAAATAACCAGAAAAACCCTTGCTTGTGTGAAACAATGAGATCGTTTACTACATCTTTTAACTCACTTCTATGGAGATTTCAGATGTACCAAGAACAATCTTACAGAGCTGAGCAATTTGTTCTCCTACCCTGCCAGCTCCCAGCACTGCAGCCAAGTCTCAAAGCTCACACATTTTCCCCACTGCACTCACGCTTGGTTCACAAACTCTTCTGCAAATGAGCAATCTACCCTGTATTTGTAGATAATTATCAATAATTACCTCTATTTGCATATTGAGAATGTTATACTGCTAATAAAGAGCAAAGAGGAGATACGAATGAAGAAGAAAGTTTAGTCCCACCTTTTAAAGCAAAAACATACAGACGTAACTGATTTTCCTGAGTACTGGCTGTGGATCTGAGATTCAGAACAGAGTCCCACATTCTCCATCCAGAAGCACAAGTGTTAGGCACAAAGCCATCCAAGCACACGAGCGGTGAGGCGGGATATACATGAAGAAGGTAGCACGTTTAGCAGCCTCCCTGAGAACACCAGCACACAATGCCTCGCTGCCATGCATGAGCTACTGAAACAACTGCCTCACTATTCAGTAAAGGGAGATAAAGAACACTGTCAAGAACAAACTCCCTGTTTTCTCAGAAGCAAGAAGCACCTCAACCACATGCTGGCACCTGGAAGTTTGAAACACACCGAATAAACACAAGTTCTCTGAAATATAAGTGTTCTAGTTTTGACGAAGGTTTATATACAGTAAATGCCACAGCAATTATAAAATTCCTTCAGAGGGCAAAAGCAAAGTCAAAACAGTTACATTCCATTTCATGCAGAGTATAACTGAAACACATTTTGCTTCGATTAAGACACTGTATAACAACTGTATAATAACTGTATAACAACTCTCCACAAGCACCCTTTTACATTACACTGTTATCAATGGAAGCAAATTTTGTCCCATCTATATTGATAGTGACTTCACTTAAGACCAAAATATCATATATTTGAGTGGACTGTCAGTCAATCTCAAACAAAAAAAATTTACAACAAAATATGAAACAACACATATGCATACATATGCGTGTAGAAATACAGAAAACTGGTTTTCACTTTACAATCCATTTGCAACGAGGTTTTGTGCAAAAAGCTTCTGCCACATTGATCTGACATTAAGTAGCCTACTGATTTATTTAACCTAGGAGTTCTGAATAGGGCATTCAACTTCTGCTGCTTCACTTCTTTCATCACCTGTAATTAGATCTAGTGTTGCTGTTGTAGTCTTCTGAAGAATAATTTAATTCTGCTACCCACAAAATAGAGCATGGGGACATTTGCTCATTCACTTGAACTTCCTCAAACAGGAATACAACTTTTTGTGCCAGAAGGATCAGCCCAGCAGCTGAGTGATTGATGGTACAGAGTGTAAGTAAGGGAGAACATCCCTTCTGCTGCTAATTCCTTTTAAAATAATAACAGTAATAGCATACAGAAGTACAATAATAGTCTACCAGGCACTGGGAGCATTCAAATCCCAAGTTCAGAACAATTCAGTGGGAACGGACAAATGTGGCACAGTCTGCTTCTACGGAATACTGCAGAAAGAAAAGGTAAAATCATCTCATTTTTCTTTGAAGGCATGTTACTGGAAACAGGTTACCTCCCACACTGAGCAGGACTCTGGGAACTTGCAAGGAATTACAGGACAGGTTGTGATCAGATCTAGCTTGTAACATTACTCAAATGAAACAACAGTAACTTACAACAACATTCACCTATTAACTGTTAAGTGTTTGTGAACTTCTGGATAGAACTTCACTAAACCAACTTGCCATAAATACTCATTTACACTCTGCAACTAAGATAAAAAACAGACTACCCGCAAAACTAATCCATAGCAGAGATTTTTGGCATCTGCACCAGAGAGCAGTAGCTACTAGGAAAAAAAAAAAAAGTACTTGTATAAATAACGTGGGGAATTCCTTACAACCTCTACGTAGTTGAAGCACAAGCAAATACAGATTAAAGCTGGAAAAAGCATTCTTAACTGTAAAAAGATAAACATGGGATGACCATGAATACGAACAAGAATGGTTAAATGCTTCAGACCAGCAGTTGTAAAACCTGAATGAAAGTAAGAATTTAAAAAATGTCCAACTTGGCCCTCCAAAGTCATTAAATTTGGAGAATAAATATCATGGGTAAATTAGGAGAGTACAGTCCCAAAATAAATCAGAGAGGCCAATTAAGCAAGAGAAGTTACTTCTATTTGCCAGCCTCTCACAGCAAGTGCAGACTGCAAACAACTGATGACTGAATTGGCTCATTAAAAGCTTTTGTTTACCCACTGAAGCACAAGGACCTGAAGTCAGGAAAGCTCTATTCTACTCCCCACTTCCAAGCACCAACCCTGCAACCTTAGGCAGGAGATATGGCAGGTTTTAAAAAGCACAAGAAACTTAATTAAATACATGGCTATTATAAGTTTTTCCAATTAATGTCAAATTCTGAATCACCATGTTCAGCAAATACAGTATCAAACGGTCCCTTGAACTTGTCCATAAATACATGCCAGAAAGTCTTGACACAAACATGCCTCGGCTTTACTCAAAATCTCAATCTCAGCTGGCACCTTAGCATTTTTTTTCCCAAACCAATGACACAGATCACTGAAGTGAAAGCTGGCGAGGCCTCCCCAGTTAATACAGAACTTGAGAAGGTCACTACGGAAATGATTTCTCAATGCTTGTATCTTGAATTCTGATCATGGAGAACATTTTACTCTCAGTCTCATTAATTCCTATAATAAAATGCAATTATTCATACTGTCCCCACATCAGGGCCAATTGCAACAATCAGATAACAGCAACTGATAAAGAATCTTCAAAAAAAAAAAAAAAAAAAGATATTTTCATCAGATTGGTGGAAACAAACAAATACACCCTGTTAAGGATGGTGCAAAAAAGCAGTTAAAGGGTATGACATCCCTATTACAGGACTTACACGTGGTCTTCTATGAAAACAAGACCTAAACAGAGAGGAATTCAGACAAAAAAAAAAAAAAGTTTCTGAAACAATAACTTACTAATTATCTGAATATCAAGTGACACAACATAATCCTGGAAAACAGTGGCTACATGTGTTCCCAGGTCTCAACAGCACGATCCTATCAGAAATAAAAACTTGAAAGAAAGGATGGAAACGTGCAAAACTAATAAGCAAGAAAAACATACTTCTCATTCTTGTGAAGATTCTCCCAGGGATTTCTAAAAAGTAAACTACAGAGCAAAACAGTGGAGACGTGAGGATATGAGACAATCAACACAACCATGAAAGGTAGATGCCAAAACCAAGCTTCTAAAGGACACATCCACAGGAGACAGCACACAACATCCACGCGTGGATCTGCGTACTGCTCTATTAAAAGCTGCTGAATAATGAGCTTATTAAAAAAATGACCACTGACTGCATGTTTTAGAAATCAAAACCACTTTCAGTTGCAATTTTATCCTTCAGTGACTCCTGCTGTATCCCAGATACGCTACTTATATAACATTGCTGTCGCACCATCAATGAGAATCCAAGATCAAGGCAAATGTTTTCAGTATGACATAACACAAAGGTGGTATCTTTTGTTTTGTGAACCTGTTAAAAACTAGATCTCACCCTAAGAATTACTTTTTATTTTCTTTGGAATATTTTCTATGCCCCCGTCAGCACACAGCTATGACAAGAAGCATTCCCCACTGTTAAGAAGAAAAAATGTTTTTATTTGAGCCCTGTTTTCCAGTTTCCTAGGCTGGCATGACATAGGCAAAGTCAGCTGCTGCTTTTACATCTTTGGTGTTAAGATTGCTACAATATTCTAAAGAAATCCTCTGATGCTGTAACATTTTGTATTTCCTACACTGGAGTGAATCATTTCAAGGACATTTATAGTCAGAAACGTAGCACTACAACACGTCTGCTACCCACAAGGCAAACTACTCCCTAGGATGTAAACACACAGCTCCCATTGTTCACATGTGCAGAGGGCAGGATACGGCTTTGTATCCAGTGGCAGAAAACAAACTCATCAGAAAGAAATCTTTCAAAACTATTGCTAATGCACACATTCAAGCTGTGTACACATTATTACTGGTTTCCTCATCTCACTTTCCTTCAATTCTTTACCCTCTATTAAATTCACACTTGTTAAAGAGATCCTAATTCTAACTAGGAGCTCTGAGACTTTTCAGAGCATAAACTGCAGCACTATTCTCCAGAGCCAAGTCCTCTCTCTCATTTATATGCTTTCTCAGAGCTTCCAACAATCTCTGCTTTGAAATAAACTCTGCAAGTCCAATACAATTTAATGGGGTTGAAAAGCATGTTTCTATTTATGGTGCTTAAATGTTGGCAGGTATCTACTTCCTTATGTTTGATGAGTAGATCCTATTTTGAACTAGGAATGGTGGAGCCCTTCTATTATTCCATCTGTGGCAGATTTGTTTTTAATTGCTGAGCATCTGCAGCTGAAGAGGTTTGTAGTCCTTTTAAGCAGCTGAGCAAAGAATGAGCAGATGGCATCAAATAAAAAAAAAAAAAAAAGCACTAAAGAAAAAACAAACAAAAAACCTTTCCCAGGTTTGCTTTTTTCTTTTTTAAACAAGCAGTTCCTGGTTTGAGAAGGATACTGCAATTATTCAAGAGAAATTAATCAAATTTACACTAGGCTAAAGCTCCTTAATAAACCATTTGTAATATATTTTAGTCTTTTCTGCACAGTATTACTACCTGAAATTGTGCAACAAATGCTAATTATTATTTAATTTTGTTAGAAATAAGAGTTATACAAAAAAGCATTTGTATTTTAGTTAACAAGTGTCAATAAGAAGTCATTATCTTCATCTGCTAACTAAGTATAGCATCATTCCAGGACATTACAGACAAAGCCATTTTTGCTCTAAGAAACCTAAATATCCCAATGAGGCTGCTCCATGTTCTATAGCATTCATCTATTCCTACTTATAGGCAATAAATAGAAAGGAAACTATTTAATTTGAGTAAATATATCACCTCGTCATCTATCAGAGGTAGATGAAATCTCACAGGTATTACAAAGACAAAAATATCAACAGACTACAAATGACTTGAATATAAACAGATGTCAGAGGTAACTTACAGAAACAAGATAGCAGAACATTTCTAAAATGGAGGTGCCCAACCTGCAACCCATGCTCCAGTATGACCAAGTTTGCTGTCCATCTATTCAGCCACTTGGTAGCTCTGGCAAACAGTTCAACATTGTTACATCAGATCGAAACATACAGCTTCATTTCAGCAAAGCAACCAATTATCCCCACAGAATATCACAAACCATACCTAATTGTTATCATGTCTCCACGATCTCCTTGAATGTACCAGCTGCAGTTTACTGCTGGAGGATAGTTTCGTGGCCAGGAAGGGCTGTAGATGACGCCCCGTCTCTCTGTGTGCTGTTCGAGTTCTCCACTGCAAGCAACTGTTAATAAGAGGGAAAAAATATTGTTAATGCTTCACCTAATCAACAACTCACGTTAGCTACAAGAGCTTTCATCAATTTCTGGGGGTTGCAGACAGATGGGAGTCAACATCTTCATCCTCTTATTGCTTTCTTCCCCGCCCAGTTTTTAATTAAGGCACCCACTTGAACTGCAGGTAAGCATAACCTGCATTTCAATGCAGGATCAATCAATAACCTTGTATGAATTTACCGAAGGCTACAATCAATATCACCGCACAGATCTGCAAGAGAGGATGCAATGCAGAAATCCTCTTTACCAGCTGCCCAAAGCTGGCTGTGACTCTCACCAGCTGGAAAAGATCCATATTCAGTGCAAAGCACCTAGAAGCCCATTTTGCTATAACCTGTTCCTGGATATGTTCCTTCTCCTAACCGGATGACAGACCTGCAGAGTGTCATGGTTAAACCAACAAAAGAAGACTAAAAGTTAACTGGACTTCGATGTCAAATGTTTTCACTGAAAATTCCTGAGTACTTTAAATTCCTCCTGAACTCTAACAGATTGAAATTTTGCAGAAAGGGAAAGCTCAGTATTTTCAAAGTCTTTCCAGAGCTTCCTATGGAAAGCTGCAGGCCAATCAAAGCTGCATCAAATAGTTATAATTTGTAATTAAGCAATTCAAAAATGGCAGTGAGCTGCTCCAAGGACAAGTGGGAAAGCTGTTCTGCTGGGAAGATGTACTCTCAGCAGACTACAAGAGAGGAAACTCTCTGTAATGCAAAAGCTGTTCTGAACACTCTCCAAATATATATTTAAAATTATTTCTAAATCAGCTGACTATCTGGAGCACGCCTTCTGGATTACAGCTGAACGTTCCCATTTTTACACGTTTCATTCTTCCCAGCTTATAATGAAGGGAAAAAAAAAAAAAGGTATGTCTACACTTTAAGGAAAGTATACCCCGATATACATCACAGACTTGCAGCATTGCTTGCACGCAGGCACAAATGCATCATTTTGGGTTCAGAGCCAGGACAGCACCAGCTGCACAAGGATGGGCAAGGTCCCAGCAAAGCCACACGGATGCAGGCACTGCAGGGCCGCCCTCAGAGCCCGGCCTGCAGCATCCCCTGGAAAGCCAGTGCTGGAGCTCACCCATTTGCCCACAGCAAGCATTTCTCAAGCGAGAGCCACGTGAATACAAAGCACGAGGTGAGCAACTTACCTGAGGCAAAACAGAAAGAGCTATTATTTTTACCCTCCAAACAGGGCGTTTCACTGAAATACATGTATGCAATTCCTACTAGTTTCAAAGAGCACAAAAACTTCCCAAACACATAAACACAAGTAAACATCTATTTTCCAAGCAAATATTTTGCAGTGAAGTGGTTATAAAAATACAAGAAAACCTTTGTTAGCACATGTCTAAAAACAGAGAGGCTCCACACTGGACACTGACAGCTACAGAAACAAGAAAGCAAATGTAAGACCACAGTACTTGTCAGCTTGGGCTCTCAAGATGTTTCATTACACACACCAAAGCAGCCTATCCAGGCCTTGAGATGTGCCCCTCCACACACCTATCACTGCACACACATCCCACAGCAGCAAGGGAGGACACAGAGCGAGCAGCAGTGCAAGAGGAACTGGGAAGCTCATGTCCTACCGCCGAGTTACTGAAACTTCTCAACGGGGGGGAAACAATGTGCACACAGAACAAACACAGCATGCAGCACTATCCAGAGGCTTTCTGCAGAGCCTTGCAAAGGTTTCTGTTCCCCTTGTACCAACTTTTGCTCTGGATTAATATGCTGTGTTGACAATAAAAACAGCAGCACAGAGAGCAAAACCAGCTCTCACACAAAGCTGGTTAGAGCTCATGTTCTGAGGAGTCCCAGTGACACACTGCTGAATCCCTACAAGCACCTTCACTCACATTCATTGCTGCAGTTTAGCAGAGAATTTCCCCAATACTTTCACCTGAGCTCTAGGAAATATTTACAAAACCTGACCAAAGGCTATGTGACACCTCCCTGATTTCTGAAGTAACGTCACCAGCAGGTTTTCTTTTCCAGCAACAGTTTCCCAAGTCTTAGCGGCAAACGTGATGCAGTGTGACAAGTTTCTCAGTGAGAAACACCTTTCCTTATTAACACTGCACATCTGCCACAAACATGGGACAAGGAACAAGAACGGACAAAGGAAAAAGATTTTTTATTTTAACAGAATGATGGTTGCTGTGAAAATCTGAGGTAAGGGCTGTGCTAAATGCTACTTATGGCAGCCCAGTTGGCCATGGCCATTGTTTCTCAATACCCCACAGCAGTCTACACTCCTGCCATAAAACAAACATTTCAGACTCACCTCATTCAGAATTAAAAGGAGAATTAATTTTTCTCTTACAATTAATCACTCTTACAGGGACTGCTCAACTAACAGGCTGCTAACCTTATTACCATTGCCAAAACATACGTACACTATTTTAAGGGTATGTGCATAACCCCCTGAGCCCACGGGGGAAAACTGGAAGGGGGGACACACACAAAACTCCTATCTTGTCTACCCAAACCTCACTCTAATTGCCAGGTGCTTTAGACACCCTTCATTTCTTGTCAGTGCTCATTACTATGGCACTTGCACTTGACCAACAGATCTCCTTCCTAATGATTGTCTTCCCCTGTGCACTGACTGCTGCGTAGCAGTGAAGGTGAAGTCTTCAAGCACTGCTTCTGAGCAGCTGTTCTTTCACCTACATAAATGACAACTTCATTTTGAAAGAAAAACCCACACTAAACAGAAAAACCACGAGGGCACACTGCCATACCATACTGTTGGGGTTTCAGTGCTGACAAAGGGGCCTCAATTCCCTTCCTAGTTCCTGTGTGAATTTTGCAGAACCACAAACCCACATGCAGTGCTGTGATACTAAGCTGGGCTTCAGCACAACACTGAGTATCAACCTTAAGGAAATACAAGCCTTCTCAAATTGCCAAAACATCCTAAAGGAAAAGGGAAGTCTCTAAATAGCAAGGCATGCTACTGGATGAAGAAGGTCTTATAAGCAACAGTGCATAAGAAGAGTAGTGACAACTTTTCTGCAACGACTGTTTGTGCTTTTACACACAAACACAGAAGCAAAGTGTAAACTCAATTTACAAAACACCCAAAATGGCTTACATTTTCCACATTCTGGACGTTTGTTCATTAAAAAGCAAGAGAATATCAATCCCTGGACAAGCCAACCAACCCAACAAAATATTACCGAGGTGATATTTTTTGTTGTTGTTTAACAAATTCTGAAGATAAACAACAATTAATCTTTCATAGATTTGTTTTTTTTAAGTATCATTTCAATGTCAGAAGTGGTTTGAGTTTAGAGTTTTCATCAAGAAGGATGAGGGAGCTGGGTTTTTCAGCCTGTTGGAGAGAAGGCAGCAAGGACACATCACTGCAGCCTTCCAGTATTTAAAAAGGCATTATAAACAGGAGGGAATCAGCTTTTTACTTGGGCACACAGTGATACGACAAGGGGGAATGGTTTTAAGCTCGAGGAGGGAAGGTTTAGATTGGATGTCAGGAGGAAGTTCTTCACAGAGAGAGTAGTGAGGTGCTGGAACAGGCTGCTCAGAGAGGCTGTGGACGTCCCATCCCTGGAGGTGTTCAAGATCAGCTAGGATGGGGCCCTGGCAACCTGGTCTAGTACCAGAACTGGAGGTTGGTGGCCCTGCCTGTGGCAGAGGGGTTGGAATTTGGTGATCTTTGGGGTCCCTTCCAACCCAAACCACTCCTATGATCCCACAGTAAGATGAAAAATCTTAATAGGAGGCTCTTTCAGCAATGATCAAATGGATTTCTTATAGTGCAAACAGCAGTAAATTTCTCCCTCCAGTTAAATACGCCACTAATTCTTGCTACTAAAAACTTCCAAGAAATTTTCCAAAACATTACACAGAAGGTACTAGTCCTATTCTTTGCAAGAGGAACTACAACAAATACCACACTTCACCAGAGGACAGCACAGCTTGTTTTGGGGTTACTAAGCTGTGCAGGAATAAATAGGGTGAGAGCAGAGACAAGGGAAGTGGTGGAGTCACCATCCTGGAGGCGTTAAAGAAAAGGACAGGTGCAGCATGGACAAACACGGGTTAGTGGGCATGGAGGGATGGACTGCTGGTTGGATCGTGGCCTTTTCCAACATTCATGACTCTATTCTATGAAATTTTTAGATGATCCCAGCAGAAGATCAACCCTGCATCTTTGCACCCTTCTGTAACAGGGAGTACACCTCAACCATCTGCTCCAGACTAAGAGAAGCCACAAGGAGCTTTCTCTCAAGACTTCATGCTTAGCAAAATATGCCTTCTTAACAGTTACCTCAGGGCTGGCAGAACACTCTCTCCTCAGCTCTCTAACTGCTCCCTCAAGGAGTGCTCTCACACACTGCTTAGCACAGACCCCTTATGCCTGTAGTCTGAAGGCTCTCCCTGGTTTTATCCATCCCACAGCCAGCTGCTGCTCCCCCAGCACCAGCACACACACAGCTCACTGATCCTGCAGAACCTGAGCACTCTGTGGGACCAAGAAGCAGAACCTGCTTGACTGAGGCAGGGGAAGAGCACATGGTGGGAGAACTTCTCCCTTTCAGCACAGACAGCTTTGATGGCTTGAAGTGTACGAATACAGCTGAGAAGGTGGCTTGACCTGTGATCTCCAGAAATTTTTATTTCTGCCACTGCGAGCTTTCTGAAGAGAAACCCCACTACACCTTTCTGTAAAGATATGTCTCTAATAGATGCTTCCTAAGGATACGTTTGGGACAGCAACCGCCCCTCTCCACTTCTATTATGGCTGCTAAGGAACACCTACTTCAAGAGGGTTCTCAGCAGAGTTATCTGCCTTGCAATTGCATTACCCTCACCTGTTATCTTCCAGCACGCAGGAAAACAAGTAAGATATGAACTGCATTATGGCAATGACCTTTTGTGATCATTTTTCACACTGCTCCAGTTACTATGTCAGCAATCAGAGTAACTCAAAGCTGTATCAGAGCAAGAAATCAGGAAGGCTACAGTATTACAAGGTTTTCCGAATGCTCGAAAGAATAAAAGTGAAATGTTACAACCCTGTTTCTAGCAAAAGGACAGCTTTAGAAAAGAGCAGAGCCAGCAGGAAGAAGTGTTACTTATTTGAGGCTGAAGTAGCAGCAATCTAGACTGTATAACTACTCAAGTTACACTTTGTAAACTCAAATGCCATACAGGCACGGGATGCCAAACTCCATCAGAAGCTAAGAACAATCCAGGCAGAACAGATCAAGACACAGATCACATTCTGGTCTTTTTCTAATAGAAGAATGGAAATATATAGTATTGCAAACAACACACACCCCATGTGGTGCATCCAAGCTACCCTAAAATAAGCTTAAGGAAGTCAATTACTATCCTTTCCCAATTTAAATCTTCTCTCAAAACTCCGTGTCGATTTGAATACTCAGACTCCCACATTAATCAAGCGACTGCCTTAGAATTATTTTTGTGTTTTCTCATTTCCATTTCTCCTGCCTCCCATACTTGGTTATTACGTTTTATTTAAGTTGGAGCCTCTTTAGGCTTAAAGTATGCCTACCAACGTGACTGTGGATTGAAAGGCACAAGAGTACCCTTATCACTAAGAGGACTCTGATTATACTCCTCCAGTAATGTCAGTAAGCCACAGTACTACTACAGAGAAGGAAATTACACTAAGTGCCAGGACTCTGATTGCATTTCCACTCTAAGAATCAAAAGATGTTCTTAACATTCCGGTTTTAGCTCCTCTGGGAATGGGCCTCTGCCCCCAGCTTGATGTTCCCAGGCACATCTCCTAAACACAGATTTTCCCCCAAACATATCAGTACATACTGTGACCTTGGCCTCAAGCTTAAGATTTTTTTCCAACACAGAGACACTGACGGAGTCCAATAACCATTCCAGCAAGATTTGAAAGTTCTAAGCTTCCTAAAATGTCACTGCTACCCTTTCTCAAACAAAGGTCATACTGCTTTGCTTAAACAAGTCTTCAAACAGTAAAAGAACAGTAACAACTTCAAAACAACAATAAATATAAATAAGAAAAGTGTATCTTACCTAGTGAGGTAACAGCACTTTCTATTTTCCCAGTCAGAAAGAGATTCACTGTAAAGATAGAAAGAAAAAATGTTACCATAGGTTCCAGTGGCACAGTGAGGCAGTTCATAGTCTGCCATTTCTAAGTGTTTGCTGCCATGTTTATATAAAGGTATTACAGTCTTCCAGTAAGAATTCTATTTATCTCCACTGAGAATTCACATGAATCAACTCTCAACTTTCAACAAACAATATCAGTTCAGCATCAATCAAATATGCTAACAAGAGAAACAACAACTCAGTTGTCTTTTGTGGGATTTTTTTTTTTTTAAATTGGGGAAGACAGAAAAACAATCACACTAAAACATCCATAATCACAGCTGGTCACTTTAACAGCTCAAATGTTGTAAAATAATTTATAAGGTTATCTTGAAATGTATCCTCGCTGAATAAAGCAGTTTGTTCCTATCAGGTAAATGTCACCTTGAAAACAAGTTGCAAAAGCAAACACAGTTAACTTGGCTAATCAACAGCAATGAAGTTTTTAAAAAAGCCTTTTAGTGACATCAAAGCAAGATGAGACTTGCAGGGTGCCTGCAGTTCACATTTGACTTCCAGGAGGGTCTTTAGATGCTCCCCACTTTCTCAGAAGTCTCCTCTCAGAGGATACACTGTTAGAACGATCTGATAAGAGGGGCCATCACCAACACTTTTTCCTGTGCTGTTGTTACTGCAGAGCTCAGTGTAGCACACACTTCCACTGGAGTTTCCTCGCAGATTCTTCAAGCCCTTTTCTGGTGATTACACTGCATTTCACTAACTGCTCTCATCTTAGCAGTGTTCTGTAACCTACAGTTTACTAATAACATGACAAACACTAAAGCAAGTTAGAAAGGTTTAAAAGGTTACCAACACCTAATTCACAACACCGCAGCCAGGCACCCTGTTGGCTTAATTTTGCATGTGTTAAATCCAAAATCTTTCTATAGCCAATCTGCAGCAAGTGTTTAGAAAAAAAACATCATTAAAAAATGAACAATGGAAGAGGAACTGTCTGTGCTCCCAGCAGTGACTGGAAGCCACTGACAATTAGCACTATTTCTGTACATGGAGGCATGCTGACTACAGGCCCTTTTGTCTTAGCACCGTTAAAACATCGCAGGACAACAACCCTGGCTCCAACCACCTTCTGGCCTGACAGACCAGCACAAGGGAAAGAAGCTGTGGAACAGTGCAAGGGAAGGAGGGCAGCTGAGGAACAGCTGTGGCTTCAGAACAAACAGGCTCGAGCTACTCATTTGCACTCAAAAGTATCAATACTATGTTCAAGGGATGTTAATAGTGCTGATTTTATTACATAATTAATGCACAGCAGCATTTATTACACAACCAGGCCAAGGCACTGTGTAACCGCACTGTGCCAGGGGCAGCTCCACACCTGAGCTGCACGACAGGTCCTGGCCCACAGCAACGCTGTGACACAAAGTTCCCCCATGTGGCATGTGGCACCGCTGTTCCTGTAACCATATTAATTCAGTCACACAAACTGAGAACACATCAGCCAGCAATTAAGTCACAAATTGACAGATGTTATGAACATTAAAATATTTTGCTCCTAAGTACGTGAATGTACTCTGTCTAACAATAGGCAGAGTATCATCCTAACCAGGCTCTGTCACTGCCTTTCTGCACATGTCCTGCCTGAGTTTTCCCAACATGACAGAACAAGCTCCAAGCAGAGGTTCCTGAGAGGGGTCCTTCAGGAGGAACTTGCAGCAGGACAGGGCTAGAGGGAAGAAGCAGCACACACGGAGCTCCCAGCTCCATGTGACAGCTCTGCCAGCAGCCCTGAGCACAGCCAGGCAGACAGTGATGGGCAGCTCCACACACCTGGCAAACAGAGCCCCCCCTACACAAACCTACTGGCTGGTACTGCAGCTCTCTCTCATTTCCAAGTTGCTCCATAACAAGCAGCCAGTAGTTGAGAACAGTTCTTCAGAACTGCCTCACATCAGATGCTTTCCTCAATATGGTCCCTCACTGTTCCCCACTCCCACTCAGGCCCTCAGATCAGAGCACTACAACCAGCCCTGATGCACTCCCAGGAGAGACACCAGCCCTGCTATTCTGGTTATTCATCCACTTTCTGCATTCTCCAGCATTTCTAAGGAACAAGGAATGAAACAGCCTCACCAAGAACAGCTGCCACAAAGCAGCTCCACACTGCGGCTCACAGCTGAAGTCAAACAGCCACAGGCGGCAACAGTGTGTCTACAGAGACACCAAACCCCACAAACAGCCCCAGGAGAACAAAAAGTAAAAGCGGAGAAGGGCTGGAGAAGTGAGAAACAGGAACTGAAAGCAACGACAGACTGAAAGGCCAGGCAGGCAGGAAGTAACACACAATAACAGCTAAAGCACAGTGCTCTTGTGGGGTCTTCACTGCACAACAAGTGATAAGCTTCCCCCCTCCCCTGCTTGTTAACTTTCACTACTGTGCAAGGGACAGGCACAAAGCACTGCAGAGATCTACCAAACTTCCAACCTCATGCCACCTCCAGAGAAGGACACAAAGTGCTCTCGCTTGGACTCTGGAACTCACATGATCTTCAATGATAGTATTAGTCACTTTTAGAACAACTATGCTATTTTTATTAAATAACAGAAGTTTTCACAAAGCTCTGACCAGGCCCCAAGAAAAATAAATGGCTGGAACTTATATTTTAGACTCGAGTCCAGCAGGCTCTGCCCTCATGCTGCACACACTTCTGGCAGCCCTTTATGTCTCTGCAATACAGCAGCGGCAGCAGGCAGAGATGTTTCAGCTGTTCTGAAGCTTACAGGGCTTTATGCACTGTATTTCACAGTTAACACAGAGATGTCTTTAGTCACCAGAGCAGTCTTTAACTTTCCACACTTTCCTGGGCAAGCGCTGACATTAAAAACTTCCACAGAAAGAGAATAAGCAGTACGGCCACTTCTGACAGTTTATGTAACTGATGCTGCCTATCACTCGGCAGTACCAAACACAAACCTGCTTTATCAGCAAGCAGCAGAGGGTTACACAGTTCCGCGGGCAGTACGTTTATCAGACAGCACTCAGAGCCCTCGAAAGAGCTGGGATCAGCCCAGCACAGGCCCCTGGGACAGGCAAGGGCCGGTAACCCCAACCGCCGGGCCGCCGGCTGCGGGCACAGGGCAGCACAAAGCCCCAAGGAAAAGTGCCTTCCCCCAGAAAAAGGGCTGCCCGCTATCGGCAGGGGACGCGCCTCCGTGCCGCCACAACCCAGCACCTGCCGCGGGAGGAGAGCGGAGCATCGGGGAACGCGTTCCCTCCCGGCCGCTCACAGCGGCGACGGGCGGTGTCGCGGTTCAACTCCACGGGGGCATCGCTACAGTCCAAACTTTCTTTTTTTAAAGCTCCGCATGGGGTCACCGTACTAGACTCAATCCAGGAGCGAGACGCGCGACCCGGACGGAACGCGGCTCGGCCCGCACAGCCCCGCCGGCCCGGCTTCCCCCAAAGCGCCCGCAACGCGGCCCCGAGCCCGCCGTGCCGCGGAGGCCTCCGCAGGTGCCCGCATCCCGGCTCCGTGCCCGGACGTGCCCCGCGGGGAGCGGCCGCCGGCACTCACCCAGGCAGATGGCGGTGAGCGGCACCAGCGCGCTCTGCCGGAGCTCCGCCGCCGCCGCCTTCTCCATGGCGGGTCGCCGCCACCTGCCCTTCGGCAAAGGGGGGAAGCGCTCGCTTCTACGCCCGCCCGCCAGCCCCCGCAGCCCGGGCAGCCGGCGGCGGGGCAGCCGCCTCCCGCCGCAGCCCCATGGCCGGGCCCGCGCTCGCCGCTCCGGGGCAGGTGGAGGAAAACGGAGCGCAGCGCCGCCGCTCCAACGCCGCCGCCCCACGTGACGGCCCCGCCGCGCGGCTGCGGCGCTCGGGCCGGAGGACGAAGGGAGCGCCGCCCCGCTCCGCGCACACCTGGGGGCCGCCGGCAGGCGGAGCGCGGCCCGCGGCGGAAGGGAAGGCG